TGCTCCTCTTCTGTGGTGCTCCTTACACTGTGCTCCTCTTCTGTGGTCCTCCTTACACTCTGCTCCCTCTTCTGTGGTCCTCCTTACACTCTGCTCCTCCTCTGTGGTCCTCCTTACACTGTGCTCCTCTTCTGTGGTGCTCCTTACACTGTGCTCCTCTTCTGTGGTGCTCCTTACACTGTGCTCCCTCTTCTGTGGTGCTCCTTACACTGTGCTCCCTCTTCTGTGGTGCTCCTTACACTGTGCTCTCTCTTTTGTGGTGCTCCTTACACTCTGCTCCTCTTCTGTGGTGCTCCTTACACTGTGCTCCTTCTTCTTCTGTGGTGCTCCTTACACTGTGCTCCTCTTCTGTGGTGCTCCTTACACTCTGCTCCTCTTCTGTGGTCCTCCTTACACTCTGCTCCTCTTCTGTGGTGCTCCCGAAGCCTCAGGTGTAGGGCTGTGCTATAGATGTATCACTTGAGGCTGGCCACCCCATAGTCAGTTGTTCTCTGCCTTTTGACTAGTTGTTTGGTTCCAGGCTTTCAAGTTTTAATTTCTTTTATGTGTATGTGCTGCTTGCTTGTCTGTATGTACAATACATTCATGTAGTGCTATTGGAGGCCAGAAGGTGGTGTCAGATTCCTGGGAACTGGAGTTCAGGTGGTTGTGAACTTCCTGGTGTGGGTGGTGGGAACTGAACTCAGATCCCCTGTAAGAGCCACAAGTGCTTTTACCTTCTAAACTCTCTCCCGAGCCCTATGTATTTTTTAAAATTTAGCATTTTTGTTAACTTTGGTAGTATAAACATTGAGGCAATTATTTGGACATTTTATTTACATGATCTGACAGTATGTTGAGATCTCTAGGGTACAGAAGATGGTTTTCATAATTTCTAATGCATTTATTTCTCTTAACAAAGATACTCCTCAAGTAAATAATTACAGGTTTCCTTTTCCTCTTATGCATGGCTTAAAATGGTAAGTGCTAAGACTGCACAGTTAAAATTGCAAAATGTTCTTACAAAGATGTTTTTGAATTTTTCCCACCCAAACCATGAAGATAGACTGTTTGATGTATGTATCAAGGACAGCCAAGAGTGACTGTATTCTCCACCCACCTCCTTTCTCATAGGTACTTTCACTCTTGCTGGTTGATCCTTCTTACAGGGCTGAAAAAAATCTGTTTTGTTTCTAGACTTAAATATGCAACTGCCAAATATCTTTAGCAAGTCATTTAGGCTTTACAAACCTGTTTCCTTATTTATAATATCAATATCCTAGAATTTTTCCAAGAATTTCATGAATGTGGAGACACTTTTTTAAAAGTCAAAGTCCTTCCGAGATTATAGACTTGTCCTGTGCCAGGACTCATACTTCTATGCTTTGGTTCTTTCTCTCACGCTTTCCCAATTTCCTTACAAAGTCTTTACTTTTCCTCCCCAAGGAATTTTCTTCTAAGGGATCTTACCGTTCCCATCTTTCTGGAAGAAGAGACCCTTAGAGTCTTCAAAGCCACTCTCCTTGTAGAGACTTATGGAGAAGTCCCTGCAGGACAGGGTGGGGAATGAGACAGGAGAGTGAGGGATAAAATGAGAATGGCTAATAGTCATCATCAACATGTATACAATGGTCAATGAACGGAAAAAGAAAACAGAGCAACACAGAGCTGTAGCAGGTATTGCAGGATGTTGGCCGCGTAGGCAGCTGGGTTGATCCCTGCTATGTAAGCACCATCCTGGAACATTAACTAATGTTATCACTATTCTCTCCGTCACTGTATGCTGATGAGCTAAAATAAATGAGTTCCATTAAAAGAAAATCCAGAGAAAGGCCATATGAAGGTCTACAAATGTAAATGGTGGAGTAGATATACCAAGGGAAAGACCAGAGGTAGAGGTCTCAAGACACTTGTTCTGATGATCTCTGCAATTCTTGCTCCATGACGCATCCATTTTATTTATTTATTTATTTAATTTATTTATTTATTTATTTTTGGTTTTTCGAGACAGGGTTTCTTTGTGTAGCTTTGCACCTTTCCTGGAACTCACTCTGTAGACCAGGCTGGCCTTGAACTCACAGAGATACGTCTGGCTCTGCCTCCTGAGT